TTGTTAGTCTGGCTTCAATACTTGGGAAATGAATTTCCTTTTTTTTTTTTTCCCCTGACATAGTAGCAAGGTTTCTGCTTCCCTTCCTGTACATCCTCACCTCAACTCTTCCGGGCTTCAGTTTTGCCAGAGCAACATATCCAAGGACAGAACAGCCAGGCAGACCCAGGTGGGATTCCACTTGGTTCAAGCACACCTCAGGCAGCATTCCTAAAATTCCGGTGAAACTAAAAGGCTTCATAGGCCTGTGTTGAAGAAGACACAAGTGCATTCCCAAGGCATCTATTGTAGTAAACCTCACATTTCTGTGAGACTTTGGTCTATTTTATACCAAAGTTTGGGGATTAAAAGCTGATGTGTAACTGTCATGAAGAAGACAGTATTTTATGCTTAAATACAATGTGGATATGCAAGTAAAAAATTGCTGCATTCACAGTAATTTTTTAAAAATATTTTTTATTTCATTTTCTTTTATACATTCAATCACATTATTTAGCTTACAAAGTGAATATTCCAACTTGTGAACATTTCTCCCTTGTCTAGTGGATAAACTATAAAATTACCAACAAATACCACATTTCTTTATCCCTTCAATGCTTTGCCTTTCTATTTTCCTTCTAAATGGTCTTCCTCAGACTCTACTCTTTCACACACAGTATATCAGGTATTCACATCCATTTACTGTGTTTCTATATCCTTTAGTCAATCAATTCCCATCACAGAGTACGGACACTTGGTATATATTAAGTGGGGATATACAATGTCTCTCCTTTATAGCCTGGCTTGCTTCACTCAGTATATCTTCCATATTCTTCCACTTTCTGTCAAAAGCCATGGTCTTATTTTTTATGGGTGAATTGTATTCCATAGAGTATATGTGCCACAGTTTTTCAACCCATTCATCTGTTCGTGGGCATTAGGGTTGGTTCTATGTCTTAGCAATTGTGGATCGTGCCACAACAAACATCGATGTGCACTCAAGCATCCAGACCCATTCGCAGTTATTTTTAAGGTGAAGTAAGACCATGGGACTCGTCGGGCCCCTCTCTGGCCCGCGCCCGTCTCTGGCCGAGCAACACACGCGTTCACTGCCGTAGCCACATTTCATACTAGCCACTCCCTCCCGCTCTGGGGATCACTGCCTCCCCGCCCCCAGCTCCCCTGACACCCCGCCCCAGTGCCCCCGCCCTTCCAG